AGAAGCCTCAGAAGAATCCTCAGGCGTATATTCCTGGCTGACTCATCATCCTTCTAATATTAGTGAACTTTTAGGATCCAGCCTCAAAGTTCTACAGGCTTTTTTTCAGAAATAGCACAAACTCTGGAAATCTATGCTTCCTGCTGGAGCTAGATTCTGAAGTCTCATGTCTCATCCTCTTTCATAAATTCATTCCATCATCAGCTTTGGTTTTGCAACCCCAGCTACCTCAAATACATTTGAGTTACTATCTGAGCCTCTTTGGCTGAATGTAGAGTCATTCAGGAAAGAATGGTAATAATGCCAAATAGTCGATGATAACTGATACCAGCGAAACTTGCCAGAAGCCCACAATCAGACTTGATGACCTGAAACCAGTAGGAAATCTTGTCTGTTTTTCATTGCTATAGCAACGTCACCAAACTGTAAGAAACCATCACATTGAGAGAACACCTACATTCAATATTAAGACAGTACCTCATAGCAGACAGGCAATGGTATAGGAAGTTACTTGTGGAAACCACATACCTTGGCAGGAGGCCCACTTTCCCCTCAGCCTGGGAGCAGGCAGCTCTAAGACAATATTTACTAAAAACATGTTTACTAAAAACAATTCGGTGCCCGGAGCAATAAGTTGCTGATAAGGGCTTGCCCACAGGAACACCCTGACCTCGACCTTTTCCAAAGTCTAACTGCCTCCTCCTGAACCACCCACCGCTGCCTCTGGTGTCAGGGCATATAACCAGCCAGGGGTAAGAAAAGGGACAGAAGCTTTTCTTGAGAGAAGCCTTTCTTGGGAAGTTTTCTTGAGCCTTCTTGGGGACTGCTTAAAGTTTTCTTTGTACCACCCACTGGTCTTTGTGTCATCAATCCTGACACCCTCTGCACATTCTCAGATACAGGCTGTGCAGCGGGCACGGCAGTTGCTCAGTTCAGTTTCTAAGAGAAAAAGTACTAGGGAGATGATAGGGTCTTTATATTCCCTCCAAAGGCACATTCCTGTGACAAAACTATAGAGAGGTCTTTTAAAACATATGCCTTCTAGACACATTCAAGCACTAACCTATAACATTAAGTGAGTAGCTTTTTACACACCAGATACACTCACATAGGCTCAATTCAATAAGTAAGTACTGAATTATCATTCTTCCTGTTGTTAAAATCCTATCCAAATCAATAGTATTCCTTGGTTTTACTTTCAGCATTTTAATTAGTTGCTTTCTCATTCTTATATTCTGTATAAATGATGCCATAAAGCATATAATCAACTGTTTGCTTTCTTGTATTCTGGTTATGAGACTAATGCCTATATTCTATCTAGGAGTCCAAAATGTATATGAATCAAAATCTCAATCTGTTTGTTATGTAAGTTAAGTAGTTTATACTTTGGAGACATTATGAATATTACTATAGTAATCATTTCTGATGGCCTTTATAAGCCTGTTGTTTTGGAGGATGATATCATAGTCTCATTTCTTTTTCTCTCTCAACTCCATGTTTGAATGCCTAAGTTTCTGTAGTCAGTGTGTGCCTATCTTCATTAGTTTAGAGTCTCTATTAAGTAATGGAAGTGAACATGAGTTCAAATAGATATGCCACAAAACAGCATGAATAGTATTATTACAAGATGACTGAGACTCTGTCAGAAAAAGGCCATATGCAAAAAACAAATACCTAAGGAAATACCCACTCACATACCAGAAGTGGAAGCCTGAAGCAGACCCTACCTCATGGTCCTCAGATGACACTCATTGTGATGAAATATGTTGAAATATGTATCTTGAATTTTTAAGTTCTACAACTATGAGTAAATATATAGTGTGTTCAAATCACTGAGGCTGTGTTGCTTTCATCGAAGCCAAAACTATACACACAAAAAACCATAGTGACCTATATGTAAGGCAAAAACTGCTGGGCAAGATATGCAAGTATGTTTTGCTTTAATATTAAGGTTTTCTAAAGTGATCTTGCAATTTGCAAGCTCTGAGCAATGTATGAGCCTTCTGGCTGTTCTTAATCAAATTTCTCAGTCTCTTCCTGTATCCTTTTCATTAATTCCTTTTGGTAGAAATAAAGTGGTATCTATGGATACACTCATCATTACTATTTATATGAATGTTGTGTATATTTATCACGTTCTTATCAGTCATCTGGATGTCTTCTTTAACACTAAATCTCTTTGTTAGCATATATCTTTCTGCTAGCCTTAAAATTAAGGAGCAATGATTCTGCCTAAGCTGAGCTTCTATCTCAGTGATGCAGTCTATCTTTTGCAAAGACTCTCATGTGGAAAAAGCAAGAAATTCTTAGACATATCCCTTAGTTAATCGCATTGGGTTTTGCTTAATCTTTGGCACCATCTAGTCACTTGTGTTTTTTACCTAAACCATAGACTTACTATTAATCCTCTCTGTTTTGTCTACTGAATTCCAATATCCATTACACTATAAACACATGTTTTACTCTCATAATACTACTTATTTTCCTTGGGGTGAAATGTATTGTTCTCCAGTATTCAGGCAGCCAAGATATTACTTGAAGAATGTCTGCTGATTTAGTAAGATTGGCAGGGTACTTTTTATCTCGCTATATTCAGGCTTTTGAAGAAATTAATGAGATTATGACTTGAACTAATTCAACTGAATAGCCTCAGTACTGAAGATGGCTATGTTGTAAAACAAACAATCTTCTTTAGGAGTTATGGTTTCAACTCTGGATACAATCAAATTTCCTTTGACATTTTCCATGAGTGTAAATTATTTAAAAAAATATAAAAATATAACCAAGACTGCCAGTAAATATTTGTAAAATAAATTAATCAGGAAGCTGAGACATGAGGATTATTTAAGGATAATCTGAGCTATTGAGTGAGTTCAAAGCTCTCAGTGGCAATGTTGAGACCCTGTTTCATGATGAAAAGTAGAAAGATGACTCAGTAAGTAGTTCAATGGTGGAACAATTGCAAAATTTGTATAAAGACTTGGCTTCCATCCTTCATGAGAATGAATAAATACAGATAAAAATACACCTTTTCTAATTTGTTATTTAGTATTTTATGATAAATAACACCTTCATTTATGCTAAGATAATTTTTTCTAGTCATGAATGTTTAAGTGAGGTATTATTCTCACATGCATCAATAGAAATTAGAATAATCTGTAAAGAAACCCTTCTGAGTAAAACAATAGGAGTCTAACATCAAATGTATCCAAGAGTGTTTCCTATGTATTTGTATATTCATAATATTATATATCATTTTTTCCTATTACTCAAAATCAGACTTTTATGTACTTACTATTTTGTGATGTCTTAAATGAAGGTCAGAAAATTATTTGAAAACTAAATAGTTCGGGAAATTTTACCTTGTTTGTTCAACTTTATTATTTCTTCTAAAGGGTGTTCTGAGTACAGATATGAGCATACTATCAATTTAAATAATTAACTAATATATTTCATAAAATAGTATTCCATCTGAGAAAAGGTTTAGAAGACAAGGGAAAATGTGTGTTTGATTCTGTTAACTTTCTGCATGCTACTTCAAAAACACAGATGGAAATTTATGAATATTTTAGAAGATAAACACATAAACTGCATTGCATTCTCTGTGAATATGTCTGTAATTCAATTGACTCATGGTTTCTTTACTATTTCATTGTGTTGCAGAGTGTATTAATTACATTTAATACAAATAAATTATTATGATAGATGATGTATAAGTGGTGAAAACTTTGTCTTAATATCTAGTGTATATAGATCAAAGAGAAGAATGTATTTATCTATGTCCTTCACCTGATAACAATTTAGTTAGGTATTTAGAACTTATACTATGTCCATGGTAGTAAACTAATAGCAATCCTTTTTAGAGGAAACGAAGAAATTAAAACTGGAAGTAAAATGGCTTTGACTATTTTATTGTTAGATAACCTCTTAATCTTAGTTTCAGATTCCAAAATACAATATGGGGTGTTTTTAAATAAAATGCTCTCTTTTATGTTTTGAGTAGTAGGTAAGTAATGCTGTGTTTTGTTATGAACATGTGAAATTGTTTTATATTATTTATATCTCTTATAATTACCATGTCATAAATTTCAGTGGGAAGAGTAGTGACTAATCATGAAGAAGTAGTAATTTGACAGTGGGCCTGAGTATCTTAGGATGCTCAGGAAACCTAATTTCTCATACTTCTCCAAGTGTCAACTGTTATCTCCTTGCCACCCCTCCCTTGGCCTATTCTTATATAGAGAAAATGCTCTATGAGAATTCCGTAGATAAGAAACACATGAGCTAATACCCTTTTTCTTAGACACCTAAAGCAACACATTTGTCATATCATAGCTCCAAAAATGTACAAATTGATTATTTAAGGAGTGGTTTAAATTTCTGTATGAAATACCAGCTCCTCTTAGGATATCAATATGTAATATTTTTTGAGGAAATTAAATCCTAATACAGTAGCTGACCAGGAAGAATTAGTATAGTCGAAAGTTGACTCAGAAGACATAATTTCTTATATCATTTTTGACATGTGAGAAACAAAAATAAAAATTTTTGTATGCTGGAAAAGCAATCCACAGTATTGAGAAAGACAGGCAAGTGATATATCTCTGAACTTACCTACTTATACACCTTCTATGAACCATAATGGAATTTGTTCCCTACCAGATTCTATATGTTCTAGTGTAGTGTTCTTTTACTTTCTAGGCTCCAAAATTCCAAGAAACAGGTGTATACTATTTCAGGTACTTAGTCTAGATACAGTCACATATCTACAAAGTTCCAAGACCATTTGTGAGAAATGAGTTGGTAGGCAGTTTTGTTGTGCCAACATAGTTGTGGTTGCTTGTCTTGATTCCTTTGGTTGACTTTTAGTGGCCCATATTGATTGCTGACAAGATGATTTTTCTGAGAAGGGAATCTTGGGTTATACAGAAATATAGACTGGAGAAAGAAAGTTGAACAGTAGCATGCATTCATTCATTACTTTCTGTTCTTGACTGTAGATGCAGTGTGACTAGACTTTTCAAGTTCTTTACATCTTCATATCCATGTCATGATGGACTACCCTCCCTCACATATATAGGTATGTATGGATATATGATATTGATTTTATTTTAATTATGTACTTGTATGAATTTCAGTGGGTGTGGGTATGTGTCTCTGGTTTGTGTGTGTGTGTGTGTGTGTGTGTGTCTATGTGATTGAATGTTCTCAGGTACATCAGATGCTAGAGGTCTTCCCTGGATGAGGAATTACTTGTGGTTGTGAGAAGTTCAATATAGATGATGAGAATAAAACTCAAGTATTCCCCATGAGGAGTTGGGGTTCTTAACCACTGAAAAACATCTCCAGCCCCAGTACAGTGAACACTTTAATGGAATTAAAATAAACAATTTCCCCCTTAAGTTGCCCAGTAAGACTGCTTTTATCTCAACAACACGAAAATAAACTTACAGTTGATAGATGATGTCCTTCACTCTATCAGCCTAAACTGATTGACATGTCAGATAATATAATAGTTTGGGATTAGTATGAGAACAGCTTTGAGGGTCAGTATTTTGCCGGAAAAATGTATCACCCAAGAGTTGAATGAAAATTAGAAGCAACTATTACAAGAATGCTTTTAGAGACAGTATGAAAAAGAGAGTAGAGCCGAATTATCTCTATAGGAAGAACTTAAAGCAACATATTTAAAAACCATAATACCTGATTATTTCAAGGGCCAAATTTAAAGTTACATATAAATTTGGAGACATTTTTTTCCATGCATTCTTTGGACTTGAAAATTGTATAACTGGAGAAACAGCTAATAAATAGGTGACGTTAATGTTTATCTGATAGATTGTTCAAATTTTGCTAGAAAGAGTATGTTTGTGTCTAAAATAACTGAAAAATTATTATAGTCTGCTCATAGGATTACATCAATAGTAATTCAATACAGCAGTCCATAGATTTCAGACATAAGGGTGCTTTTGTAACAGACAAGTAAAAAGGATTTTTGACTGCATAGATATAGCTTGCATATGCTTTACAGAAAGGATTATACTTACTAAGTGTTTGCTTTAGTGTAATGTCAAATATGCAACATTTACACAGTCCAGGTGTTTGCAGCACTGAAATTATTCTAAGAGTAGTATCACAGAGTGGAAGAGTGAACCTTATCACTTTTATTGCATTTGCATTGTATCAGTTAAAATGTAGAAAATGAAAAGTAATTATAGCCTCTCCAAGACTCTCTAATGCAATATCTCATTCAAATAAATTTGCTATTCTGTGTAGACCTTAATTCAGAGAAGACACAATACAGGGAATGAGTAATTGCAATTTAAAAATAAAATTATATATTTTTGATCCTTTAGTCATGTTATCAAATATATGAATTACATTATTTGCTTCCTTGTTTATGCATTAAATAATACATGGTGTTAGAACAAATAAAACCAAACAAACTCAATTTTGGTACCAAACATCTGTGTTGTGCCAAAATAAATGTCGGTCATGAAAGAGGAGCTACTTAAAATTTAATGTAAATGCAAATTATCTTGAGAGCTAGAATTAAGGAGGTGTCTGACAAGGCTTAAAGAGCATGTAAATGATACTGACTTTGCTAGCACATCATCTTTTGAATTGGAAGAATGTTCTTTCTGCTGCAGTCTTCAAAAAATATAGAAATTTAAACTTTCACAATGGATAAATGAGTAAGCAACTTACATTTTAATACATTTCCTAATACTTAGAATTATTTGCTGATGATTCAGAAAGCTATTTATCAGAAAAATTTAAACACATTAATTTCTTTTAGCCAGCATTTATGTAAATGTTAGTGAAATCATCATACATTGTACTCCTGACAGAAAATCAGGATTCTAGTGGGTTTATTCTATAAACAATGATGAGTTAATCTCATGTTAACTAAGCACAATGGCCTGCATAATTTAATGGTGACAAGAATTAACAATACATATGTAGAAGAAGGGCAGAGCAATAAATTGTGCTAAGCAATCCAGGTTCCAGTCTCCTGAGCATTTAAAGCAAATTATAGACCAACTCTGTGAGATTTTTATTGTAATTTTCCCATTACATTGGGTAAGTAGTTCCCCTTTCTTAGACTGGTAAGCATCAAGTTTCAATATTTTAGTATTAGTTTTACTGACAATGGGACTCACAGAAATTAGACCTCTGACAAGAAACACCATGTCAGGATCTTCTGAGGAATGGCACCTCAAAGTAACGACTTTTAAAGTTTTATCTTAAAATGTGCTATGCAGATGAACATGACTTCTGATATGTCGTTGTCCTCTTCCAAACTGCCAAAGTTAAAGGCACATGTCACTATAACAATTTTATGTGGTTCTGGGGAAAGAAGACAAAGCTTTGTGAATGTTAGTTAAAAGTTCTCCCAACTGAGCTATGTTTCCAGCCTTAATTTCTTTACTTTTCCAATGACCATCACTATTTGGGTCCTGAATAAGAATGGGAGTCCAAGGAAATTAAAACTATATAATAGTGTTATTCCAGTACATAATAGATAGTTCCAAGTATTTACTATTCACAAAGATAAATATAAGTAGTACTTCCATCTACATATCAATAAATTAACCACTTCAAATTAAATTCAACATGTTAATAAAATTTAAATCAAAATCTATATCTTACTTCTACACATCAAAAAAGTAATAGGTTCAATATATCCCTTAAAGAATGGGCTAAAACAATAATTACTGGTGAATTTTTTTCTGCCATTTCATTTTAAGGAAACAGCACACAAGAATAAATACTGAAGCAGCAATATCATTTTCGCTATAGAAAGAGTAAATGTTGAGGTATCACATAGGGAATTCACAAAGAAGGTGAACCATCAGATACACTCAGTTGTGAAAAGAACCACCCTCTATTATCATTATAATTGTTTCAATGCAAATTTTGTAAGAGACAAATTCAAACACATGTGTGTGTGTGAATATATCTGTAGCTTCAATTGAGAAATGAATGATAGTGAAGTCACAGTAGCATTACTGCTGTCTTAGAAACATGCAGACATGCTTCAAATGTCAATCTCAGCTCCCTCTCCTAACCCTACTACCTTGTCCCTCCACCAGCCCTCCTCCACCACCCCAATCCTCACATCATCCCCAGGGAAGGTAAGGCCCTCCTTGGGGGGATCTACAGAGTCTGTCATTTCATTCAGGGAAGGACCTAGGCCCTTCCCCGTGTGTCCACTCTGAGAGAGCATCCCTTCATGTGTAATGGGCTCCCAAAGTTCATTCTTATGCCATGGTATACACTGGTCTAGTACACAAGGCCCCAGAGATTACTGAGGCCTTCCCACTGACACTACATTCATGGAGTCTGGATCAGTCCCCTGTTGGCCTCTCAGCCATCAGTCTGGGGATCAAGAGCTCCCCCTTGTCCAGTCAGCTGTCTTTGTGGGTTTCACCAGCACGGTCTTGACGCCTTTGCTCATCATTCCTCCATCTCTGTCACTGGGTTCCAGGGGGTCAGTTCAGTGTTTAGCTGTGGGTATCTGTCTCTGCTTCCATCTGTCCCTGAATGAAGGTTCTAGGATGCCATATAAGGTAGTCATCAACCTTATCATCAGGGAGGGACTATTAACATAGTCTCTTTGCTTTTGCTTAATTTGTCAGTTGGTGTTATCCCTGTACATCTCAGGAAATCTCCTAGTGTCAGCTCTCTCCTCAAACCTATAATGACTCTATCTATTATGGTATCTCTCATCCTGCTTGATACCACTATTTCTTTAGAGGTCCCTATTTACTAACAATAAAGCAAACTGATGATGTTAAATAAATCACCAATAAAGAAAAATAAAATTTATAATGATAGAACACTAGATTAGCTTTGTTAAATTTTGTTTTTTTCAAGAAAGGTTTTCTCTGTATTGTTTTGGAGGCTGTCCTGGAACTTGCTTTGTAGACCAGTCTAACCTCTTACTCACAGGGATCCCACTGACTCTGCCTCATGAGTGCTGGGATTAAAGGTGTGTGCCACCATTGTCTGGCTTAATTTGTTAAATTCTTTAACTTATTAAAATCTTAGCTTTCTTTTTAGTAAAATGAAGACAATAAATTATATTTGATGACTGAAGTTGTTACTAGTTTAAATATGTATGAAAATATACTGACTTTGTCGACTGATGATATATATATACACATATACATTACATAAACACACATATAAATGCATATGTATTTATATATCATATATGACTCATAAAATATATATGAGAATAGATTGCCTATCTAGCATTTATAAAGATCAGGTATGATGGTACACACCTGTCACTTCACTACCAAAGATTTGGAGGCAAGACGATAAGAAGTCCAAAGCTATCCTTCCCCCAAAAGGGAGTTCAAGATCAGCCTGACCTATATGACAACCTGTTTCAAAAAAATCCCACAAAATAACAAATACTTATTAGATAATATTACAAAATTCCACTGATTTATAGGCTTACTTCCATTACTCTCTGATAATGAGACATTGTGTATTAAGCAATAGAAGGTCAAGTTGAGCAGATGTGCCAATAAAAGAAGTCTGAAGGCTTTTAAATGACATCACAGGAATACTGATATTATTCTTCTCATCTCACAGATTCAAGGGTCTTTTGACAGAATCTATTTTGAATGAATATTTTGGTGGCTTTTCTTCTCAACTCTGATTTACAATGTTGAGAAGGATAATCCCAATGGCATTTAAAAGAAGCCCTGTAGATGTTGAGTATCATTTAACATGATAGCACAGTTCTCCTGCCTGAATTTTAAAATGTCAGCCAGCATATTCCTCATCAATATATATTCAGGACCACTCGCTGCCCTTTAAAAAAATAGACAAGGATTTGAAATATTGGCAGGCCTTAGGATCACTTCCAAGAGGAGGATGCTGTGTGGATAAACACTTGCCTTTTATTGGCTCTTTCCTTTTCCTGACATTGTACAGACCTTCAGACCTGCACTTCCTAACACAGAAAGGCAGGCAGGGCTCTGCTGATACTGAAGATGCTTTGGCCTTTCTGTGTTCTGTGAACTTTAGGTTAACTCACATAATATAAGAGTTAAGTAGGAACATTTCATACAGCCTTAAATCAAACAAGACCAAATTCTTAGCTTATAATTACTATGTAGACTGTTTCCTATTAGTTCCTTTTATGTAGAAGTTCTACTTTAAGTAATAAAAATATGCTTGTAAACAGACCAAAAAGGGGGAAAACTTACATAGTTTGTTTTTCTGTCTTCTGTTCTATATTTGGTATGAAAATATTTTCAAAGTGATACAGTTGTAATTGTCAGAATAAAAATAGTAACTAAGAGGAAACTATGGGATTGAACCTTTAAATTCTGAGAGTTGTTTGACTCTGGTTGCTGCTGTTTGGTATATATGTAAACAAATTTTAGCATTTAATTGTTGCCAACTACAGGAGTCAGTGCCATGTGAGAGAAAAAGAACAGAGCTTGACCTAGAAGTTGAAATGTGGACTACACTAATGAGCAAACAAAATCGATTTAGAAAGAAATGACAATAACAGATTCAACTTTAAAAATATTTTTCAATATTTTTAGTTATGTGTATGAGTATATATGATTGTGTGTGTGTATGTGTGTGTGTGTGTGTGTGTGTGTGTGTGTGCCCCTGTTCACACAACTAGTCATGCTGATTAGAAGAGAGGCTCTTCCTGGAACTCAAGCTACATTTGCTATCAGGCTGTCTGAACTGAGTGCTTGTTACTGAATCCAGAGTCTCTGAAAGAGCAGTGCACACTGGTAAAGAGTGATCCATCTGCAGGTCCAGAGTCTGTCTGTGTTTGTGTTTTTAATTTTGATGTTATCTTCAATTCCCTCATAAACAGTCTTTTTGAATTGTTTTTATTCATATGAAAGGGTGGAGTAAAATAAATCAAGATACAACAAAAGATGAAATAATGTAAATGACAGCACTGATGTAAATCAGTATAGATGTAATTTTCTGTAACAAAATGAATGGATTTTAAAAGTACTTTTACAATTTACCTGAAAATGAAATACCAACATGTTAATTAGTGTATGTGTATGTTTAAAGTTAAATATATGTGTGTGAATGTGTATTATACATTTATATATAAAGTTTAAAATATTTTTTCTTGTACACTTAAATTTTACAGAAGTTTTATTAGTCTTAGAATAACAATTTCTTATTCTTCCTTATTTATTTATTTATTTTTTTGGTTTTTCGAGACAGGGTTTCTCTGTATTGTTTTGGAGGCTGTCCTGGAAATCACTCTGTAGACCAGGCTGGCCTCGAACTCACAGAGATCCGCCTGCCTCTGCCTCCCAAGTGCTGGGATTAAAGGCGTGCGCCACCAAAGCCCGGCTTCCTTTTTTATTTTTTACAATCAATTTGTCTCAGATGTTCATAGATGCTTATATAGGTTGGACACAATTCAAACTATTCTTGAGTTGAAATCCTCCTACTTGGCTACTTCAGCAGAGGTTTGATCTGTAGCCGTAATTCAGTAGCCTTAAATTTAAGTGACCTCCTCTATCTTATTTATTCTTGAAGAGCAAACTTACACTTAAAGAAGTAAAAGCAAATGTGTGCGTGTGTGTGTGTGTGTGTGTGTGTGTGTGTAAACATGCAGAAATTCCCAAACATAGATAAGATAACAAGATTCCTTAGGCAATTGAAATTTAATTATTTGTCCAGAGGAAGTGCTGCGGTGAAGATATTTCCTTGAGTTCAGTGTAGACAACAAGGGTCATAGATCATCATGAACCAAGTCTTGAGTGCAGGCTTTCTGTAACTATTCTCATCAGCTGGCCGTTGAAGATCCTCACCCAATTTTCAGTGACCTTGACAACTTCTTTCTATTCAGTGTATGATGGATAACCAGTTCAACAGAAAAAACAATAGCAACTTAAGTCTATAAAAAAAAAACAAAGAAGACCTTACTGTGAATGAGTACTAAAGTATGCCACTAGCTCTTCTGTTAATGATACCTTAGGAGACATGTTTTTACAATTTCTCACATTCTTTCCTCTGATTCCAGTGTGCACAAATGGGACAACACTCTGAAGTTGCGTGGTCTCTCTGTACAGACTTTTCTTTCTATTAGACCTTTCTTCATATTGATTGATTCATCACTCTAGAAGGTTTGAAGAACAAATGACTTGCTTGGGTCTATAGGATCAGTGAATGTGAATGAAAATTCATCACTTGTGTGATAGCAATGAAGCTTTGAAATGTGTTTCTGGGTGAGGTCATTGAGTGGGGTGATGTCTACAAAAAGAAAGCAATGTTCTGAATGATAGAAACCTATGGTTGTAGCCTTGGATGATTGGATTTACATAAAATTAATGTTAAATAAAAAATGTGGCCTATTATGACCTCTTCTATGGTTCAGTCAAGTGTTCTTCCTGGTTACATGGTCACATCCTGTGAGGTAATGAGTTCTGCACAGCACCGTCTCCACTGGCTAAGTGATCCTTATGTCCAATATAGACTAGGATGTGACTTTCTGGCTTATTTTACATTGGTTTGCAAAGCTACAGGTCTCTTAAATTTCATAAACATTTTGGTCATTTCTGCTCCTTGTTTTCCTATTGGTTCAGCATGTTAGTAAAACAAAATAAATCCCCTTAGATATTAATGCATGAAAAGATATGGATCTAGTTCTGCAATGTATTTGTGTGATTTTTTTTCCACTAATAGGTGATTTGAAAATTAGGTGGTAATTTTTCCCCTCACTTACCAGGCAGTCCTATGTGACATTGTTCATATAATCCTGTTAGCTTCTCTCTCTTTCCTTTTAGGCCACCTTTAAAAGCAGCCTTGTAACAATAGCACATGAGTTTTCCAGGCAGTTTGAAAGCCCACATATTTATGAAGGGGGGGTTATATCCTGTATCTGTGCTTTGTGTGATTCAGTCATAGAATGTTAGTCTTTGTTATTTTTGGTATCTGTTTCAGAGTATCAGAATAAAATTTTTTAGGTGAGTAGAAGCTCATGATTTTCTCATCTTCATAACAAAATCAGGTTAGAGCTGAATAACTTTGCTCTTTCTCTTCCTGTCACAACCCAGTTTAAAATGCTCATGTCTTTCAATAGCCAGCAACCTCATACATCTGTAGTTAGGCCCAGCACACTCTAATCTCAGAGATCAGCAATCTATTGAGAATTCATGAATTCCAGAAATCTCAGGTCAATGATTTGTTGACTTTAAGATGGAACCCAGGATATGTGCTACATTTGGGAAGGGGTTTCACTTTTGCTTCAACAGGAGAAGAAAAGCTATGGATATCATCAAAATTAATTTAGATTTGATTTGATCAGGACAAACCTCTTGATAAGGTGAAATGATAGTTCTTACACCTATGTGACAATCTTGTTAGATGTAAATGAAACTCACAATGGTCAGGGAAACATTCTGTATTTGTCTTTACAGGAAAATAGAGATGCCCATCTCCAAGTAATCAAAAGTCCTTGGACATCGTTCTGTCTAAAGAAGAAGGGAAAGACTGGGTGTTGGTGGCATATGCCTTTAATGCCAGCACTCAGGAGGCAGAGGCAGGCAGATCTCTGTGAGTTTGAGGCCAGCCTGGTCTACAGAGAGAGTTCCAGGACAGGCTCCAAAACAATACAGAAAAAAAACCATCTAGAAAAAACAAAAGAAGAAGAAGAAGAAGAAGAAGAAGAAGAAGAAGAAGAAGAAGAAGAAGAAGAAGAAGAAGAAGAAGAAGAAGAAGAAGAAGAAGAAGAAGTAGGGAAAGCTATCAATAAAGATTACCAAGCCAATCAATAAAGCTCTGATATATAGTACCAATATATTCTATGGGGGCAAATTCTCACACCTAAACATCTGTATCTTTTTACTTTTCAGAAAATTTTTAGACCTGATTCAACTAAATGGCAAAACTGGCTGTGAAGTTGGAGCATGGCTCTCTTCTCTAAATCCAAGAAGGTTGCTAGAATAAAAATCCAGAATTTCCATGTCATATCAGAAGAACCACCTGTTATGAGACAAAAAAATATCTAAGGACTATTGTTGTCAGAAGTCTGCTATCTCTCCCAAATTCTATTTCTCCCCATACTTATCTTCATCTCTTTGGAATCTTTCTTTGGATATATATCTATCTAAAATTTAAACTTTCCATTTTGATATTAGTAATGTTTAGGCTTTCTACAGTGAACAGCATTTTTCCTAACGGCAATCTGAAGTATCCAGAAAGAAGATGGGGCAATTTTTCCTCATTCATAATGATGACATTGAGCTGATAAACACCACTCAAGGATCAGCTTTGGACTACAGACTGTTCAAGACAATTTTAGAAAGAGAAAGAGAAAAAAGAAAATTTAATATTTCACAAAATAGAAAAAAATTGGCTAGCTGAGATGGTCCACCTTCTTACAACACTCTAGCAAGAACTTCAGATAAGTTGTAGGAGTAGTCACTACTCAGAGACTGGCTACACATGCTATAGCTAGTCTTCTTGAGACTTAGCCACTGTTTTAGTGCTTTTTATAGAATCCCATAGAGTCTGCCATTAGACAGCAGGAAGCAATTCTAAGAAAATAAAACCTCCTAACAGATTTTGTTTCTGCAGGGTTATATGTGATTGTCACAGTTACTATTCTCTTATACTAGCTAAGATATATTAGCAACAATATTTGACTCTTCAGTCAATTTTGCTTTTGCAAATTACCCGTAGCACAGGCATTTAGTATTAGTTTCTTGATTGACTTTGCTGATTGTATTTCTGTTTTTGTATATGCTATTCCCCTTTCTCCTTCCTAGATAATACTTGATAATTGTCTTTAATGTATATAGCTTTGTGTTAGGTTTGCAGTCTTCTTATTTATAAAAAAGGGGAAAGTGTAGTGGGTATTTGCCCAGCACATGGACTCAGGCTGTCTGTACAGTTAGGGGTGACACTTCTTATCTGCTTATAGGACTCTAAAAAGGAAAGGGAAAATTGGTCACATGTTCTTTTGTGTGGTGTTCGGAGATCAGACTGGATCCATTCACCCCAGGGCAGAACAGAAGACCACAGTGGCTGTTAACCTTGTTGAATATACTAATAAATCATAATTATCCCTTTGCAAGCTCTAGTAGAATTGCCTACACTAGCCTATTATTTTTCTTTTATAAACAATAATGTTTTTATCAAGGAAATGCAAATTTTTGACAAGGTCCCTTCAAATCAAATAAGGTATTTATTTATTGCCAAGTTTGATATGAGCGATGCAGAAGTGTTGGTGTTTATGGAATGTTTTATTTGATGCAAATTGAATTTAATGTCAGAATAATACTACTGTATTTGGTTATATTTTAATCTTCTTATGTTTATAATTTACCAGTTTTTGAATACTTGTTTGTTTTTATAATATGACATCTATCTGCCCCAAGCAACTCTGCAATTTCTTTATAGAAACTGACTATTCTGGTTGAAACATCTAATGCTTTCTGCCCCCATTACATATTTCCCTGCTAATACTTAAAATTTCCCATCAATGTGTCATTGTTATTTGATAGGCATCTAGCCACCCAATTTCATTCTGTGATCCTGAATTCTCAATTGAGAATATATTATTTTTAATTATGTTTTCTCTTTTGGGGGGAGCATTAGCTGCATTAATTGAATGTATGAGATGGTTGCAAATGTTATATTTATTTGACAAAAGCTGATCCTCTTTCATGGCTTAAATATGTATGTAGGATGCTACATCATATAATGTTTCCCCAGGCTATGATGCACAATGTAATTTATTTTTGAAAAGCTTATTTAAGAATCACATCACTTTTCCTAATTTACTGAATGCTTCAGGCTGGAGAAAATTTTTGGGTGCGTGCTTTTTTTTTTGAAAATGTATAGAGTTGCTCTAAAAAAAATCTCTGAAATGATTCATGGACTGCCCAGAATTTTTATGTCATTTTAAGAGTAGACATTTTTTTGTATGTAAAGGGTGAGGATTTAATCTGAAACTTTGTTTCCAATGAAAAAACATTATTTTTATTTAGATATATCAATTTAATCTAGGAATAGTTTTTTGAATAATTTATTAAATATCATGCTTATGTAAAATGGAAACTGGGTGATGCAGTTTAATTCCACAAAATTTAAATTAGAAGTTAGTGCTGATATTAGATTATGAGAAATAGACTCTGAAGTTCTTAGCTCTAAATGGGGCTTCAATATCATGTTCTATCCCCACAGAGCTCAAGGATCATTGTAAAAAGACAAGGAAGAGAGTTTGTGAGAACCAGATATTATGTCTATGGCAAAATGACTTGCTAATAAGACCATTGCACACATGAACTCTTAGTAACTATTCATTTATGCGCAAAATCTACACAAGATAAGGCCATCAAAGATGGTCGAGGAATTCAGGAAGTCCCATCCCTACCTGAAAATTGCTATTGGCAATTAGTAACTGCTCAGGAAGGAGAAGTCAGTATCCTTCAGTGACGCAGCTTCTGGAAAGAAACCCATGCTATAATAGAATACTCTGTGCCATACATACACAGTTTGTACTAACTTGACTCAATTTAAAATTGCAATACTAATCAAAGACAGAACATATGACTGGAATAGAACAGTGGTTGTAAGAAAATAAGAAAGGACTTGGAGGAGAGAATTTGGGGTGCTGAATTTGGCCAAAACACAACATATGCATGTATAAAATTCTCTATAACAAAGAAGGTAGTAAAATATTGATTGAATTGATTTCACGAACATATTTTCTTTGCTATTTAGTTAAACTTTCCTGATAACTAATAATTTAGAATATTTTGGACAGATAGCATGCTTAGAAAGAGTATTTGTTTACCTTCCCTACTTGTTAAATTCACTTTGAAACAAAATTAACACTTACAATATCTTTGAGGTCATCTGAGGATAGATGCGCATACAAAGTACAATATTTCTATGTCACAGAGGGAAGTCTGAAGTTAAAGGAGACCAAGCTCTGCCTGCCTGTGTCAATTCTAAGCAGTGCCCTTTCAGAATTACATTTAGTTTGATATTTTCTGTATCTGTGTGTATTTTGTTCTTTACTTCATTGTCTGAAACTTTCTGTGTGCCAAGTGCTAAGGAACTATCAAGTTCTGTGTAGAAGATGCTTATACTGAGCACTGGGGAGACATCGTGGGCATGAAAGAAGCATCTACATTGTATAACCTCAAGTAGTAATGGTTGCGATTTTAACATCAATTTGTTAATACAATAATGTGTAACCTCCGATCAAAAGCATACATAAAATAAAGTTATATGAAGATACAATACACATTGTATAACTAATGTTATAGTTGGCAATCCAGTTTTGACTAATTGCACATTCTAAGCAACTTCACAGTGAGAACATTACTATATGGATAATGAAAGTTGCCTTCCAATGTTTTGACACTCTAAACCCCATTGACTTACATAGGCATTAATGTGTTCCCTGTTCCCTACATAGACCTTTGATGGGGACTAATTCACTTTAATATATCTAATGTATTTGACACACACAGTTTCTCTTACTTTCAAGATCAAAAATAAATGTTTTTCACTCATCTTCTATTTCTTACCTATGATTTGATTCCTCTTGATTGTAGACATTCAGACACAGGTGCATTACAGATTTGAAATGGAGAAAGCCTTCAGTCTTATAAAACTCATTTGTAGTCCCTTTGACATGGTAAAAGGAGTTTAATAACTTACAGGTAATAAATAATAAACATCATGGGTGAGAAATATACCTGTTATTGAATTTCACAGCATACTTTGAACAGTTTCTTGTAAGAAATGGGGTACTTCTTTATTTGATAATTTTTTTACAGGGTCTCAGTTGAAAGAAGACAAAAAGACATTGTGATGGCTCTGGTCAGTGCCAGCTTGATTTTTCCTGTCCTTTGTCTCCCTGCACACATCGTGTATATCAAAGGTTCCTTCTCCTCTGGCTTCCTTTATCTATAGAAGTGAAAAAAAAACACAGTTAATTCCTTTGTTGCTATGACAAATACCTAACCAAAGCAATTTGGGGATAATGTTTATTTCAAATGAAAATTTGAGGACACGTAGTCTGACATGGTTGAGATAGAACAGAAAAAGTGAGAAAATGGCCATACTGCTTATACAGACAGGAAGCAGCCAGTTTGCTTGTTCTCAGTTAGCTTGTTCCTTACAGGAAGCTAGAGCACAAATCATGGAATAAGCTGCTCATATTTGAGTCATTTTCCCCAAACCATTTAGCTGAATATAGAAAATTCTCACAGACACATCCAGAGGTGTTTTTTAAAGGTGATTTTAGATCCTGTCAAACTGACAATGCAAACAAACCATCATAGTCACTAGGAAAAATTCTGTATGTCCAATGATTCAGCAATGGAAGACGTTTTCAAAACACAAACTTTAGGAATTCTTCATTACTGTTGTTTTGGTGATTCAATCCATGCATCCCTGAAAGAGAAATCCTGGGTTGTTCCAACATATGATTAATCACTGAAGACAAAAATCAGATTTCTATCTGTGTAGCCTCATATGCAGTTAGATTTTATGTTTCCTTTACTGGAACTCAAAGATTG